TATATATATATATATATATACACATATATATATACATACATATATATATATATATATATATACATATATATACATATATACACACACACATATATATATATATATATATATATATATATATATATATACACACATATATACATATATATATATACACATATACACATATATATATATACATATTCAGTGTATCATCCTTTGTGTTCAACAGAAGAAACTCAAACCAAATAAGTTTCACTTTTTTGGGGGTGAACTATCCCTTTAAGAATAAATCACAGTGTTTAAAGCAACCAAATCTCATGTTTGCCTGTCAAAGAGTAGCGTCTGCACGTCTGGTCTGTCTGAGATCCTCACTGTCTGCAGTCATTATCATCACAGCAAACACATCCGCCATAATCTGCTTAGCCACCTGCTCAGCAAACACACACACACACACACACACACACAGGGAGTTCGGTGTGTTTACACTACAGAAACACAAGAAAACAACAGCCGTTTGAGGGGAAAACGCATGCTTGCATAATCAAACAGCAAAAGCTGACACATGTACTAGCAAAAATCATTGTCAGACTTTCTAATGTTTGCTTAAAGGAGCACTTCACTTAGTTTTTTTTAGAAACTGGCTTATTTTAAAAGGTCACGAAGAGTTAAACAGTTAAGTTTTACCCTTCTGTTCATCAATTCAGCTGATCTCAAAGTATGACAGAAGCACTTTTAGCTTAGCATAAATCACTGAATCAGATTAGACCAATAGCCACTCAAAAATGATCAGTTTTCCTAGCTTGATTCTTCTGTAGTTACACTGTGCAGAGAACAAAAGAAAATAATAAGGTGTCATTTTCTAAACTGATATGGCTAGAAACTATACTCTCATTATGGCATTATAATAAAGGTGCTTCGCTGCTGTACCATGATATTACACAATGGTTATCTAGCTAGCTAGCTGGCTATTTTCATTAATTGTGTTCATTTTCAGTCTTAGCGCACAGTGGGACTACAGAAGAGTCAAGTTGTATATAGAAAAAATTATCAAAACTGGAAATTGGCTGGAAATTGGCTGAACGGAGTCAAAAATGGTAAAAATCACCGGTTTCACTCTGGGGGAGCTCTAAAATTAGCTGAATTCACAAACAAAACATTAGTTTGAGGTGAAAACTCATGTTTACATAATGAAATGGCAAAAGCTGCCACATGTACAAGCATAAAGCATTGTCAGATTTTCTAATGCCTGCTTAAATGTACACTCCATCTTATAGTTTTTTTAGAAATTGGCTTATTTTAAAGGTCACATAAAAAGTAAACAGTTGAGTTTTACCAATTTTTTTTAACTCAGCTGATCTCGGTGTCTGGAAGAAGCAGTTTTAGCTTAGCTTAGCATAAATCATAGAATCAGATTAGACCATTAGCATCTTAAAAATGATCAGTTTTTCTAGCTCGACTCTTCTGTAGTTACACTGTGCACTAAGACCCAAAGAAAATAAAAAGGTGCCATTTTCTAGACTGATATGGCTAGAAACTATACTCACATTGTGGCATAATAATCAAGGAACTTTGCTTCCGTACCATAATATTACGCAAGCAGTCATCAAGCTAACTAAATATTTTCAGGTATTGTATAATATCATTGTGCACTAGAACTGAAAATAAACAGTGTAACTACAGAAGAGTCAAGTTTTATATAGAAAAAAAATGATCAAAACTCTTTGGTCGTTTCTCAGATGCTAATGGTCTAATCGGATTCAATGAATTATGCTAAGCTAAACGAGCTCCGCCAGACCTGGAGATCAGCTAAATGGAGTCAAAAATGGTAAAACTCACCTGTTCACTCTGGGGGAGCTGTAAAATTAACCTATTTCCTAAAAACCGGTTTGAGGGGAAAACTCATGTTTACATAACAAAACAGTGTCAGACTTTCTAATGCCTGTTTAAATGTACTTCTTTTTTGTTTTTAAATAAAAGCTCATTTTACAGATTTACGGCTAAAAAAGTCGAGGTTTACCAGTTTTTTCATAAATTCAATCGATCTCCGGATTTGAAAGAAGCAGTTTTAGCTTAGCTTAGCATAAATCCTTATATCAGATTAGACCATTAGCATCTGAAAGATTACCAGATTTTCCTATTTATAGCTTGACTCTTCTGTAGTTACTATGTGCGCTAAGACCAAAAGAAAATAAAAAGGTGCCATTTTCTAGACTGAAATGGCTAGAAACTATACGTATCCATCAACAAGTTTTACTGCTGTACCATGATATTACACAGTGGCTATCTAGCTAGCTAGCAGAGGACTATTTTCAGGTCTGGTATAATATTGCGTTCATTTTCAGTCTTAGTGCACACTGAGACTAAAGAAGAGTCAAGTTGTAGATAGGAAAATGATCAAAACTCTTTGGTCATTTCTGAGATGCTAATGGTCTAATCTGATTCAATGAATTATGCTAAGCTAAGCTAAAAGATGCAGAGATGGGGTCAAAAGTGGCAAAACTCACCTGTTTCCCTCTAGCAGAACTGTAAAATTGGCCTATTTCTAAAAAAAAATATGGAGTGTTCCTTTAAAAGGAGAGTTCACCACCCCAAAAAATGAAAATTTCCTAATTTATTAACACTCTAAACTAAATTTCTGCCTCTAAACAAGATAATGTGAAGAATGTTGGATAAAAGCTGCCATTCATATCCACACTAAAACCTAAAAATAAACACTATGGAAGTCAATGGCAGTTTTTCCAACATTCTTCAAAATATCTTCCTTTGTGTTCAACAGAAGAAAGAAGCTCAAACTGGTTTCGGATGATGACTGAACTTTCATTTTTGACCGAACTGTCCCTTTACGATCTGCCTAATATGTGATTGTGGTGTCCTTGGTCACATGACTCAGATGGGAGGAAGCAAACAGGAGACAGTCATGGTGAGTCACAGAAGCACAAACTCCTCCGTGCTGCTCCTCTTCTGATTTCGCCTCAGTTTGTCTTTGGTTTTTGTGTGTGTGATGTCCATGTCTGACGTAGAGCCGCTTTGTCCCTCGCTGTGACCCTCAACGAAGGTGAAGATGGGGTATTTCTGCTCGGATGATGACAGAGCCTGTTTATTAAAGAGAAAAGTAGGGAGAAAGTCAGAATACAAAACTGCATAATAGGGAATTTCTTTATCTTATTTATGCAAGGCAAGTTTATTTTTACAGCACATTTCATACATAAAAGTCAATGAAAGTGTGTTGCATAACCCGGAATAAAAGAAACAAGTGTAAGAAAAATCAAAACAATTGATAAAAATAATTAAAAAGTGTTAAAACAGGTTAGAAAAGAATGAAAAAGAAAGGAAAGACACATTAGTGCGATCTGTCACAGTCCTCATTCAGTAAAGGCACAGCTAAACAGATGCGAGTCCAGCGACGAGGGGCTGTTAGTAGCTGAAAGCAGATTCACCCGGCTTTGAACTCTTGGAATTTCTTATATGATCCTAAAGATCTGAGTGATCTGATTCAGTGAGCATATCTGTAATGTATTCAGGTCCTATGCCATTTAGTGCTTTATAGACCAGTAATAATAGTTTAAAATCTATTAAGAATAATATTAATAAATATAGCTGCAAGCAGCAATAAAGGGGCCAAGCACTTTTGGCCAAAAGTTGGCGCTGCTCCAGAAGTTTTTGAGTACTTTCAGGGCATGGGGTTGAAGATGCATACCATGTTTTGTAATGATATGTGAATGTGTTGGTAAAATATAGCATTTTTGGCCAAAAATCAAAATGGTCGACGCCTGAAATGGCTGACCTGTGAAAATCAGACATCATTCGACTCGACATGCTCTGCCGGATGTAATGAGACCAGTTTCATGAGTTTCGGACAAACGGTTGAGATGTTATAAACCAAAATAGCAAGTTTTTTGAATCTCCGGACCACTAGGGGGCAGTGCGCTGAAACTCTGCAGATATGAGATATCACCTCAAGTTCTTTTTTCGCAAGTTCTACGTTAAATTTAATCGCAAGTTAAACGAAAATGGTTAGTCTTATCAACTTGAATTCCATAACTTTTGGTTGGCATGGTATGTTGATCATGTGATTAAATTTTGGTGAAAATCGGAGAAACGGCCCAGAACGAATTCGATCAAATAAGTTTTTCAAAATTTTAAAATAGCTGGAAAATAATCATGGCGGAATAGGGTCATAGGGTGCCTTGAATCGGACTGAGCCAAGGAATCAGAGGAAAAAAGAATTTTAATTGTAGCCCATTCGGTTCAAAAGTTATCATGATAAACATACGGGAACGTTTGGACAAGTGGTGGCGCTAGAGAGTTTGATTTTGAGACTTCATGTTTGGTCTGATTAATGTTAAGATTGTCCTCTATCGTTGTGCCAGATGCATACCATGTTTTGTAATGATATGTGAATATGTTGGTAAAAAATAAAATTTTTGGCCAAAAATTAAAATGGGTGACGCCAAAAATGGCTGACCTGTGAAAATCAGATGTCATTCGACTTGACATGCTCTGCTGGTTGTAATGAGACGAGTTTTATGAGTTTCGGACGAAAGGTTGAGACGTTATCAGCCAAAAAAAGCAAGTTTTTTGTATCTCCGGACCACTAGGGGGCAGTGCGCCGAAACTCCGCATATAACCTCAGACCCTAATTGTCATAACACACACTAAGTTTGGTGTGAATCGGTGAATGCGTTATGGAGATATCGCCTCAAGTCCATTTCCGCAAGTTAAACAAAAACGGTTAGTCTAATCAACTTGAATTCCATAAATTTTGGTTGGCATGGTCTGTAGATCATGTGTTTCAATTTTGGTAAAAATCGGAGAAACGGCCTAGGACAAGTTCGATTAAATTGGTTTTGCGAAAAATTTAAAATAGCGTGATATGGTCATATGGTGCGTTTGAATTGGACTGAGCCAAGGAATCAGAAGAAAAAAGAATTTTGATTGTAGCCCATTCGGTTCAAAAGTTATCATGATAAACATACGTGAACGTTTGGACAAGTGATGGCGCTAGAGAGTTTGATTTTGGGACTTCATATTTGGTCTGATTAAATGTTAAGACTGTCCTCTATCATTGTGCCAAATTATACAACTTTCCCGCATACGCCTATATGGGCTGCCATTCAAATCCGGCGGAAGAAAAATAATAATAGGAACGCTAACGAAACGAAACCAATAGGTGCCTCCGCACCTACAGTGCTTGGCCCCTAATAATAGTGGTCCAGTTTTTTTTTATCAGGTGTCTCATTTTACCTCAATAAACTCCCCACTGGAAGGGTTTCAGGGCAAGTACGATGGATACAACTCGAGCCACTGCTGAACGTTTATTGCGTACACATACACAATGTTCATCCACAAAGCAGACAGCCGTACACTTGTCTGTCAAACTTCGACGTCCTTCCCTGTTTAATAACAGTTGTTAGTAGCTAGTAGCTAGGTTATCAACCGGCAAGCGTACCGGCCCTGAACAATAACTAACTGACAGAAAAGAAAAATGAAACTTACGTCTTAATTTATACACAGACACAACCTATCGGCTAGAAACAGTAATACACATCTCCATCAGAATAATGACATATATGAAAATACAACATAAATGTGCCCGCGTTTAAACTTACATGGCAAATATACATGCCTATGTTTGTTCTTCAAATACTCTGAAACATAATAACATCCATCACTAATAATATACTGAACATATTATAAACAATAGTGACGCATACTGGAAAGTCCTACAATACAATAATAATAATAATGCATTTTATTTAAAGGCGCCTTTCATGACACTCAAGGTCACCGTACAGGACAGCTAGAACAACCAGTTCAAATAAAAACACAATAAAAGTCAATTGAATACAATACAAACTTTAGAAATGCAGTCGGGTTATAGTGAATAAGCTGTTCTAGACAGATGTGTTTTGAGTTTGGATTTAAATTGTGAAAGAGAGTCTAAATTACGGAGATCAGGAGGAAGTGAATACCAAAGCTGAGGAGCAAAGTGGCTGAAGGGTCTGCTCCCCATGGTGACAAGGCCGACAGAGGGAACAGTGAAGCTAGAATTATACTTGCGCCTGGCGCCGCATCGCACACCTCCACTGACTACGCGCGCATCTCGTGAAATGACAGAGGCTTTTATACTCGCCGCGTTCACCGTTGGGATATTCTTTAAAATGACAGGGGGCGGTCAAAAGAAACCCAAAGTAAAGTCAGACAGATAAAGAGAGAAGTAGAAAGTTTCCGGAACTACGTCATATCATAATATAGTTCAATATATGTTTTTTATACATTATTTTAATGATTATAAGTATTTTTATAACAATTCAAGATTTTTTTTATTTTTATCAAATCATTTGCTTTTGTTCATATCTCTGCCAGTTTTACCATTTAAAGTTTATTATAATATTAATCACAAGAGAACATGAGTTGCTTTACAAATATATTTTTATTATGGCAAGAATAAAAGCAAAAAAAGAAAATGACAAAAATGACAAAAGTACGGAACCCCGGAAGGGACGTAGTGGAGGAGAAAAAAATTGGCTGGGTGAAAAAAAAAAAATGGATGAAAGAAAAAAAAAATGGGTGGGAGGACAATATATATTTCTAAGTTTTTGCGTTCTCTCGCAAAGTTTTGCGTTCCCTTGCAAAGATGTTTTGCGTTCTCTCGCAAAACTGTTTCTCCACAAACACTTCCTGTTCACTGCACTCACGTTAACCCTCCCGTTTTTGCCGAAATTCTCCTGTATTTTACCATTCTATCCCTTTCTTTAAATTACGGTGCGTCGATCGTCGCCTTTCATATGCTACCTCTGTACCAGTGAATGCACGTACAAGCGCTGACTGACAGACGCGCTCCATACAATAAACTGATCCCAGATCAGCATCTGTACAGAATGACAGTTGAATGAGGTGTGAGAGAAGGACGTAAACGATTTATATTTCGAAGGTGGAAATAAGCGGACCGGGTGACATTATTAACATGTGTCCTAACATTAACATGTGTACTCCGCCATTCAAATCAGTTCGGTTATTGGCTCCAGTTTTTTATCAACTACGTCTGCTGTCTAAAGTTAAACACTTTTTAAATCCCACCACTCTAGAGATGGCTGTCCACGCATTCATTACATCACGGTTAGACTACTGCAATGCACTTCACTGTGGCATGTCAAATTCCCAGGTTTATCGCCTTCAGCTGGTCCAAAACGCTGCGACTGGATTTATTTGTAAGAGTAGAAAACATGACCACATTGTCCCTCTTCTAAGAGGTCTTCATTGGCTGCCTGTGCAATTCAGAATTGATTTTAAAGTGCTTTAACTGGTTTGTAAATCCCTCCATAATCTAGCCCCATCCTATCTCTCAGAGCTGCTTCATCCTTACACTCCTGTGAGATCTCTTAGGTCGAGTGAGCAGAATCTTCTGTCAGTTCCACAATCTAGGCTGAAAAGTAGAGGGGACAGAGCTTTCTCTGTGGCGGGTCCTCGGTTGTGGAACACCTCGCCCCTTGAGATCAGAATGGCTCCATCATTATCCAGTTTTAAATCACTTCTTAAAACCTACCTTTCCAGCTTGGCTTTTTCAATTCAATTCAATTCAGCTTTATTTGTATAGCGCTTTTACAACGTAGATTGTGTCAAAGCAGCTTAACATAAATGGTCATAGTAACTGGAACAGTGTAGTTCTTTTTGAGATTATTATAATAGTTTATTCTACTGCTAATTTTGTACATTTTTACAGACGTTTCTCGTGCTTTATTTCTATGTTTTTATATTCTGTCTTTTCATTTATTTGTACCTTGTCTTATGTACAGCACTTTGGTCAGTCTTGTGACTGCTTTTAAATGTGCTCTATGAATAAATGAACTTGAACATTAAATAACATCTGTAATGACAGAATCATCTGTGGGAATAGAAAAGTTATGTGATTTGTTTAAAGTGGATCGTGTACCTAAAAGTAGAAGTTCAGTTAGGAAGTTTGTGGTGAATCAGGATTTGATGTCTGCAAAGCAGTTAGTAAGGGATAAAGGTGGGAGTTTGTGGTTGGGTTTGGTTGATGGCTAGAGCTGGGTGTCATCTGCATAGCAATGAAAATGTGTTTGGTGTTTGCGGAAAATATATCCAAGTGGAAGTAGATAGATGATAAATAGCAGGGGACCCAAAACTGAACCCTGGGGCACACCGGTAGTGACGGGGAGTGATGATGAGGTGAAAGACTTTACTTGAATGAACTGAATGAAATCGATTGAATGCAACTAGGAGCCAGTGTAAAGACCTGAGAACAGGTGTGATGTGCTCTGATTTTCTGGCTCTGGTCAGAATCCTGTCTTTTGGGGGAGCAAAGCATCTGACTCTTGCGATGTTTTGAGATGATAGTATGTTGATTTACTGAATGCTCTGAAATGACCATTGAAACTCAGATCTGACTCCAGAGTCACACCAAGACTCTTGACCTTACTTTTTGTTGTTTGACCTTTAGTGCCAAGGTACGCATTCACCTTGAGAGCCTCATCTCTGTTCCCAGATGCAATCACTTCAGTTTTCTCTTTGTTTAACTGATGAACGTTTTGGCACATCCAACTGTTCATTTCATCGATACACTGGCAGAGGGTGTCAATGGGGCTGTAGTCATCATGGCTTTTAAAATGTGGTTTTAAAGATTTTCTAGCATGAGAAACTCTATATTCACATCAACTGTGTTGCTGATGAGGAATTTGCTAAATGATAAAGGGCTGAAATGTTTTAGGGAGTGCTAGTTTTCCCTCACCTTACTGACGTCTGAACACAGACTGTGGAAATCTGCTCTGCTTCTGGCATAAAAGCCCACCGTACAGCTCGGGTCCATGCGACTGAACGCCATCTTCCTGACTGTTTTACAGTGAAACGACTGTATAAAGAGACAAACACATACACACACACACACACACACACCAAAGTAAATTTATCGCACTTTTGACAATAAAGTGGTTCAAATTTATGTCACAGAAAATACATGTGGTTACATCAACAGTTTTCATATTTTGATATTTCATTCAAGTTCATTTTCTATTTATTTATATAGCACGCTTCCAACTGCCACAGGGCTGCACAAAGTGCTTTACAGAGAGAAAATAAACACATGATATGAGCATCAAACAGTAAAAACAGCAATAAGCACATAATAGGAAGGAACATAGAAAAATTATCAATAAAAGAGCAAAAATTAAAATAAAAAAAATAGTAATAATAATAATAAAATATTTTTCCTAATTAAAAGATGCTACCACAGTTGACCAACACTAAACACGATAGAGAACATGACCGTCTTGACCCCCCCCCCCCCCCCTTCTGAATGTGAAGGACTTATACTTCAAAAGACCTAGTAAATAAATGCGTCTTTAATTTGGACTTAAAAATAGGCAGCGACGAAGCCTATTTTAGCTCTAAAGGTAGAGAGTTCCAGAGGTGAGGACCTGCTATGGCAAAAGCACGTTCGCCCCTACTTTTGAGGTGGGCCTTTGGAACTATTAATAAAAACTGATCAGTGGAACGCAGGTGTCTTTGAGGAGTGTAGGTAACAATCAGTTGGGATAAATAATGAGGGCCAAGATTATGTAGGGCTTTATACACAAAGAGAAGGATTTTAAATTCGATTCTTTGTGTCACCGGTAGCCAATGTAGAGACCTCAGAATAGGAGTGATGTGTGCCTATTTCGGGCTTTTAGTTGAAAATCTAGCTGCTGCATTTTGCACTAACCGTTTCATTTTTTCATTTCATTTTTGATATTTTATTCCCGTTTAGCATTAGAGCTGCACAACATATGGTTTTAGTATCGGTATCACAATGTTAGCATTCGCAGTAGTCACATCATATTTGCAATGTTCAGCCTGAATGATTGTTGAGCAGGAGCTACAGAATTGTATTTAATCAATGAATTTATATTGAGTTTATATGATAAAAAAAAAAAAAAAAACATTGTTTTAGCATTTTTGGCTTGTTAATTGGCCAAATATCTACATTTCAAAGCGAAAGTATGATTATTTCTTCTGACGATGAAAACTAAACAATATTTTTACTTGGTCTAAGATTTTTTTGATATTTGGACTACAAATGAGGCAAACCAAAGGAAGAAAAGCTATTTATTTTTGCAGTTTGATTATTGAATTTCTGTACCTGCAGTGTTTCCTCTAGGATTTTTTCCAGCTGTGGCGCCAGGCCTTTTTTTTTTTTTTTTAACAGATCTACCAAATACCTGTGGCGTTAGTTCAATGAATAATGCTGTGAGCGCAGTAGTTGAAGTTGAGATCCCATTTATGTAATAGCCTACATGTACGAGCATGTGAATCTCTTTGCTTGTGCCGATTTCCTCTGCTCGTGCACAAACCTTCTTGCACGCCACCTCAAATATAAGCCGTTTCAAGAGCGCGCAGATCTTCTTGTGCGCTCTCAAATAAAAGCTGCCGAGTGTGATTTAGTGCGTTTTTGTAACGAGTATGTCTCCAACATTTATTAGATTTGCTAGGAATGTTTAGGAATGTCTCTAATAGACACACAGAGCGATATTAATGCGTCCTGAAGTGAAGTGAAACGGTTATACGCCGTGTTTGCTAGTCTCTGTCTGTCAGTCAGTCAGCACGTCACCTTAAAGGGTTAAACAAATGATGCACAGCACTACTGCGGCTACAGAAAAGTTTGCACTGTTATAATCCACTTACCTTTTAATATGTTTTGATGCGATTATAATCCGCTATTAAAAAATAAAATGTTTTGAATGAGAAGCTGCAATGTAGCCGTGGCGAGATAAATTTTGGCGTGGCGCCCCGTCATGGAAGAATGAATGGAGCGGAAACCATGACCCGAATACTGCTAGACTCCCCATGAAACTGTCAAATAGAGTAATTAAACTCATCTTCTAAAACTGTATTCATTTCGCAAAATCACAGAAAAATTAAAGTCAAGATTGTAAAAAGCAACATTTTAATTTCAGATTTTGATTTAGTTATCAAAGTCTATTAAGTCAAACTAAATTAATTTCTTCTTTGAGTTGAAGCTAATTTTGAGCCACTTAATAATAACAATATTAATAATAATAATTCCTAACATTTATATAGTGTTTTTTTGGACACTCAAAGTGCTTTATACATTTTTGGGGGGGAATCTCCTCATCCACGACCAGTGTGCAGCATCCACCTGGATGACGAAACGGCAGCCATATTGCACCAGGACAATTCAGGACGCAGTTCATATTTCAGCCGCACCACAGAGAGCCATCTGATTAGTTTCATGTTAAATATCACGCAAACGTGTGCGTCTGGTGTGTGATAGTTTTAACTGTCATGTGCGCGCTGTGTCGCGGCGCTTCTGGTGTGCGACTTGCTTGACTGTCTGTTATAGCGTGAAGTCATGTAGGATTTTACTTGTTGCATTATTCTCGTAACAAGTCACGTCTGTGTGGATTGTCAAGACATATTCCCTCATCAAGTCCATAAACTCGATCTCAACTTGTATGAAGAACGTAAAAACCTGCCATGTTAAAAACCACGCCGATCTTAGTTCGAACCGCGCTGATCTTTTGGTTTGAACACGAGCAGAGGTGAGCAGCTGTAGCAGTGAAAATGAAAGTACCCGCCCCATGACGTCATTTAGCGGACCTAGTTAAAAACCAGACAGATAAGGCAGCATAATACAGAGAGTGGAGCAAAGCGCATCAAATGATCGATATTTAAAAGGGGGAAAAAGAAAAATAGATTCAATATATTATTTCATATTAGACACACATCTGGTGCTTGTATTTGCTCCTGCTATACGTCCACAACTTCACACATTGGGTTAAATTAGGCTTTACAGTTTCCATGTTCAGTCCTTCCACTGTATCTTTTTAAGAAAATGGCAGCAGCATTACAACCTGTCATTCAATCAGAAGACAAAGTCAAAGCCGAGCTGACAAACAATCTTTCCTAGACTCAGCAAAACTTGCAAAAAATACCTCTGTATTCCTGCAACTGCAATATTTACACATGTATATTTTATTCAAATCTTCAGCAACGCTATTTAACTCGTGAATTTGTTTTACATTTATTTACACCTTGTTGACCAATTTATGTACGGCATGGCCATTAAACATACAATGTTCCTTAACCAGATGGTTTTTCAAGTTACTTATAAAGAGAATGTTACTTCAGTCATGTTGTTGTAATGTTTTAAGTTGACTAGTTACACAATAAAAAATAATAATGAAAAAAATAAAAATAAAATCGAAATCGTAAATCGGTCAAACTTTATAAAAAACCTAGATTTTTTTTTTTGCCAAATCGCCAAGCCCTAGTTAAACCCCTACTTTTTTTTTTAGGACATCCTGGGATTTCTAACGACCACAGAGTCGGGACCGTGGTTTAAAGGGTCACGAAACACCAAAACACATTTTTTGATCTGTTGACAGTCGTATATGTGTCCCACACTGCTAAAAACACTGTTAGGACACCTATATTTCACTAAAAAGTGTAAATTGGTTGTTTTTGCGTTATTTAAGCAAATTCGTACTTCCGGTTTGAAACTAATTTTTGAAGCTGCGTCACGGTCATGACATAATAGCGTGTATTCCAGCGTGCAGACTGGACGTCTGTGCCAGAGTGTGTCTTATTACGTCTTACAGTGTGTTGCATTAATGCATGAGTAAGGCTTGGTTCAAACCAATCAGCGCGCTCTATTGTGCAACTTCATTAATATTCATTATTGTCACCGTGTTTACGCCACAGAGACGCCACGTTGTGTTGGCAAAACAAGCGTGAAGTGTTGCTTTTATAGTTTGCTACAGTTAAGTTTCGTTTTCATTTTCTCTCTGTGAGAGCTCAGCTGGAGTCACGTGTGGATTAACAGTGTATGCGATGCGCTGCAAAAATAACTTACGTGTCTAAGGAGGATTATTGTTTACCTGAGAGCTGTTCTCATCTGCAAACGCTGAGATCCGGATTCGCTGCTCATCTCCTCTTAATAAAGACGCGGCTCTAGTTGCTGGTTATTTTTCTGTCTCTACAGATTTGGTAAGTGAGCGACCAGTGCTCTTTGTTTATTCAGTTTGTTCGTATCGAACTAAGTTAACTATTGCACTGAGTGTAAACATGTTAGCACCTCAACCAAACTTTAACCTTGTGTAGGATTTTCACCGCATTTAGTGACCGGAATAACACACGCGGCTTTCTGACGCTACCTGCCGTGTGCATCTAAGTTTCCGGGAAATGCTGAGGGTTTTTTTCTCTCATTCGCCGTGCGGTATCAAACATTGCATGAAAAATACACGCTTAGAGCAGATCCTCGAATTAAATATCTCGTTTGTCGCGAGGGGCATGAATGAATTCCCTGAATGAAAGAGCCAAACTGCAGTTAAAGTCCACCATTTAATAATTTGGCAAATAATTCGACTACAGAGGTCCATGTAGGTTAAACACCATCACTTTCTCATGTGTGTTTGTGTTTGTATTTTGACTCTGAAACTTGCGCGTGCCCAATTAGACACTCCCACACCCTCCCACTTTTCTTCCTCCGACACTCCCCCCTAAACAGAGCTGGACACGCCCACTTTTCTGACTTTTTTCAAAGTAGAGGTGTGAAAACACCCTGCTGAAACGAGGGGGTTTCATGGCCCTTTAACATCTCATCGGACACACAGCATTCACTGAGCAGTATAGGAGTAAAGGTCAGCTGCAGGACCTGACCAATTTTCTTGCGGCACGGGAATACATTTCTGAATAAAACGCAGTAGCGGTCGGGAGCTTGTAATTTGAATGGGAGCGGGCGGGTACCCTTTCAAAAGGATGCCAAAAAACCGTACCGTACCACTCAGTGGAAATGGGTCATAACATCCATCTGGGTGTTTTTGGGAGGCAAGGCAAGGCAAGTTTATTTATATAGCACATTTCATACAGAATGGCAATTCAAAGTGCTTTACATAAACAAGAATAAAAGAAACAAGTAAAATAAAAATAAAAACAAATAATAAAAATGCGTAAAAACAAAACAAAACATAAAAACAGGTAAAATGTGATATAAAAGAATGAAGAAGAAGAGAAAAACATGATAGTGCAATCTGTCGGACGCAGCACAGTGCTCATTCAGTAAAGGCACAGCTAAACAGATGTGTTTTCAGTCTTGATTTGAAAGTGCCTAATGTTGGAGCACATCTGATCATTTCTGGAAGCTGATTCCAGCAGCGAGGGGCATAGTGGCTAAAAGCCGATTCACCCTGCTTTGACTGAACTCTTGGAACTTTTAGTTTATATGATCCTAATGATCTGAGTGATCTGTTAGGTTTGTATTCAGTGAGCATATCTGTAATGTATTTAGGTCCTAGGCCATTTATTGATTTATAGACCAGTAATAATACTTTAAAATCTATTCTGAATGTAACTGGCAGCCAGTGTAAAGACCTGAGGACAGGTGTGATGTGCTCTGATTTTCTGGTTCTGGTTAGAATTCTGGCTGCAGCGTTCTGGATGAGCTGCAACTGTCTGACTGTCTTTTTAGGAAGACCAGTGAGGAGTCCATTACAGTAATCCACCCTGCTGCTGATAAAAGCATGAACAAGTTTTTCTAAATCTTCACTAGAAACAAAGCATCTGATTCTTGCTATGTTTTTGAGATGATAGTATGCTGATTTACTGACTGCTTTGACATGACTGTTGAAACTCAGATCTGACTCCAGAGTCACACCAAGATTCTTGACCTTATTTTTTGTCGTTTGACCTTTAGTGCCAAGGTACGCATTCACCTTGAGAACCTCATCTTTGTTTCCAAACACAATAATTTCAGTTTTCTCTTTGTTTAACTGAAGAAAGTTTTGGCACATCCAATTGCTCATTTCATCAGTGCATTGGCAGAGGGTGTCAATGGGGCTGTAGTCATTAGACAGTAAGGCTAGGTAGATCTGAGTGTCATCAGCATAGCTGTGGTAGGAGATTTGTTTTTTTCTCATTATTTGGCTCAGAGGGAGCATGTAAAGGCCTATTTAATCGCTATACATTCTTCCGTGGCCCAATATGTACCTGCTACATGTGTAAAAAATAATGCTGATATGATATATCAAACACAATCGGTGGATGGCAAATATTTTGAGTGCAAATAAAAATCTGACTTCGGAGTATCCTCATCACAAAGAGGTGAACAAAGCTGACATTTAGCCTACAATCCTTGCACAGAATACACTTTTATCTGTTATCTCTCTCTTTTGGTAGTGCCTGATTTAAACATGATTTTTTGGAAACCAGATTTAAATTTAGCGGGAACGGTTGGGTCAGGTAGAAAATGGGGCGGGGCGGTCAGCGGGTGAACAAAGGCTGAATATACAGCAGGAGCGGTCGGATGCGGTATAAAACCTGGCGGGAGCGACACTGAAATTTCAGTCCAGTGCAGATCTCTAGTATAGTCTCTCCATGACTATACTGGGGTGTAAGGACCCCCATGGTCCGCAGGCTGAGCGCCCCCTGCTGGCCTTAGCTTCAGTAGGCGACCATGTGGGTTGCAGAGAGTTAGCTGCTGGCACGAAGCGTTCACTCACCTCTAAAGGGAAGTGATCCTGCTGGACGTCCACAGCAGACTGACAGTAATGAGGATCCAAATAGATCAGCTGATCATCTGCATCACACACAGAGAATGAGTCATACACACACACACACACACACACACACACACACAAAGCAGCATACACATGTATTGTAAGGAACACACACAGATTGAGTGACACACTCTCACACAAAGATGATGAGCAACACACACACACACAAGCACTCTCACTAACACACACACACACACACACACACACACATCCATAAACACGCAACTCAAACACAATCACTCACTATGACACACACACACTCAAAACACACAACATAGACACTCACTCACATACTGTACACACTCACACATCCATACATCCACAAATACAAACAAATAAGCGCGCACACACACACACACACACACACACACACACACACACACTCAAACCCATACACACATGTGAAGTAACACACACACACACACAAACACACACATCCACGTGTTAATCGACA